TAACAAACCGTCAACAAAATATCACCCAACCAAGAAGAATCCAGATCCAGAATTGAGCATTATAGCCACAACTAATTCTGTAAACGTCTTATTTTTCCGCTTAGCTTTACCATTAATTTCTGGTGAATATGGTGTCTTGGTTTCACGAATGATACCATGTGAGCTATAGAATTCCTTGAAGGGATTAGAGTCATTCTCTGATCCTTTATCACTCCTAAGTCATTTTATTTTTCGATTGCACTGATTTTCAAATTCAACCACAAATACCTTGAACATATCAAGGGCCTCGCTTTTGTTTTTCATCAAATAAACAAAGCAATAATCAGAGCAATCATCTATGAAAGTGATAAAGTATCTCTTGAACATAACACGATTGTTGCATATATGCTTTGATGCACCTGTATCCAGCCACCATCCTTCTGAGTCACCGGTGAGGTTGACTTCAGCAATCATATCCGTGATCATGGCCACCAAGTCCTCTTTTATCAAGGTAACCCTTGCTACAGCAATAGGGTTAGTCTTGTTCCTGTACTTTCGTGCCATACGACCTGGTTTCCCGCAGTTATAGCAGAGAAACAGAGTGTCATTCTGTGAGGGCTGGACCATAAACCTTTGGTTGCCCCGAGGGACACCATTTTGGTTGGGGAGGATCTTCTGGTTCTGACTCTTAAAACCTTTTTGTATAGGTTTCAGAACTCTAGGGGTGGGTCGTCTAGCATTGACAACCATCACCTCTACTTTCATATCCTGTTTGTGGGACTCTTCCTCTATCATTAGGCGAGTAATCAAACTTTCAAGTGAAAATTCTTTAGTTTTATGTCTAAGCATATTCTTAAAATCTTTCCACGAATGGGGCAGCTTATCAATAATGCAAGCAACTTGAAACTGATCGTCTAGAGGCCTACCTTCAGAAACGATCTAATGAGCTATTTTCTGAAGTTCGTGTGATTGAAGTTAAACGGACTTGTCATCCACCATTTGGTAGTGGAGGTAGCGGCTAACAACGTACTTCTTAGCTCTAGCCTCCTCATTTTCATACTTCTTCTAGAGCGCATCCCAGATCATCATTGCGGTGTTGCTCTTATCCGCATAGTATTCTTAGAGATCGTCTGCCAGGTCGTTGAGGATGTAGTTCTTGCACAGGAAGTCCTCCTCCCTTTCCTTGGCGGAAGAAGCCCTCTCCTCATCAGTCGCTTCTTCAGGCAGCTCGACTGACATGTTGGTGAGGCAGTGTGCCAACCTCTTGGTAGTCAGGTAGAACTCCATCTTTTGTCTCTAGCGATGAAAGTTGACTCCAACGAAGCGGAAGGGTCAATTGATATTGACAGCACCAGATCCGTCCATTTTGTTTTGTTCAGTCGCTTTCTTTAAGACGCTCGCGACACTACCTTCGTTGCACACGACAGACTATCAACTGGTCGCCTTTAGGATAAAAAAAAAACACATCTTATATGCTCAGCGGTTTTGTGCAAAAACCGGAGTTCTTTGAACACTCTCTCGCTCGTGTTTCTGCTCGTTTGTGGTGTCTTTAGAGGGGTTGGGGAGAAAGCTATTTATAGGAGCCGAAACTCCTAAGAATATACCCTCTGACTTGGGGAATAATTCTCGTTTTAGAAAGATAATTACTTAATTAAACCGCGCGGGTAAGATAATTCCTTGCTAAATTATCTCTCAAATATTCCTTGATTAATTATCTTCGTATCGGTCAAGAATAGAAAATAATTAATTCGGAATTTCTCTCAAAATATAAGTCCGTCCCTGGTCGATCCACTCACCCGCTCGCCCGACCAGACGAATAGCGCACGTGTGTGTGGTGGTCCGTTAGATCCTCTCTCTCCCACAAAAGTGGGTCACCGCAAGGGGCATGCCATTATGTGAGAGAACCCAATCTTTATACCCCTTTGGTAGGAGTTCTCCCACCAATGTGTTATTCCAACCTTGGGACCTAAAGCTTTCAAAACTATTCACTTACATTTCGAACACACATAGATAGATGTTCGAATTTGACCTAATCGGATTGTGGGTGATGGGTGGGCATGGTTTCTCACTATCCAACCTGAAACCGCCTATTATACCCATGCATATTTTTTTAAATGATCATGATTTTTCTAAACATATATTTTTATTTATCATTCATATATAATATTTTCATGAAATTTTATTATTTTTAACTAATTTTCTTCTTTCTTTTGAGTAATCTTTCATTATGTAGTGTCAGTATATGTGTAATTGTTAACTAGTTGGTTGAAATTACAAAAAGAAATTGCTATTTATGGATAACCATGAATATCCGAAACCCAATTAAGTATTTATACGATTTTGATATTCAGACCGATTCTAATATGAATAATTTTTTTATAATCAGGCCCTGCAATATCATTGATCAAATTAGGAGCGAGCTTTGTCAGCCTCCAAAAAATCCCAGATTGGGCTGGGAGGGCAGTCGGCCCAAACAAAGGGGTGATTCCAACTAGGAGCCAAATGGGCCAAACAATGGGCCACCGAGTTCTTCAATTTACTAACATGATTCCATTCTACTTTCTTCTTAGAGATCGAGCCATTTACTTCAGCAAGCCACTTTATTTCATGAATCCAAATCTCCAGCTCAGTGCGGTCGCCCTTCCCTTCCTTCAAAAGATTCACCAGATTCAGGCAATCGCTTTCCACGATAAGGGGACTCCATCCTCTTCGATTAGCCTCTCTAAGGCACGGAGCAAGAGCTCTAGCTTCCGCCTCAATCGGTCTGCAATGTCCCTTTTCTTTCCAAGCAATGCCTCCCAGAAAGTTCCCATTCCGGTCTCGAACCACACCACCCAAACCGATTCCATCGGGCTTCAGAATCCCAGCATCGCAGTTGAGTTTGAAGGTACCAGTCGGCGGTTTTTCCCAACTATGATCAACCACTCCCTGGAAAGCGGCGGGACCCTGGATGTTCTGAGCTGAAGGTAATCTGTAATCCAAGCAATATCTTTAGGGACAATTTCTTCCTCTTCGAGTTTGTCGTTGTTGAACATGTGGTTGCACCTTTCTTTCCAGATAAACCATAAAATTGCAAAAAACCTTTGCAGATCAGATAAATCGGTGGATTCAAAGATCCGGAAGAACCAGTCACATCCAGAAAGACCCTCCCCTCGTTGGAAAGATTCATGATCCAGCGATGGCTGCCACAGGTGGCGGGTCCAGGCACAGTCTCGCAAGCAATGCAGTTGGGTCTCGGGAAGGCCACAGAAGGGGTAGTAAGAGGAAGCATCTTCCATACGTTTGGCGATGTTCTTCCCAACTAGTAAGATATCCTTGCTGATCTTCCAGAGAAAGAACTTAATTTTAGGCTGAATAGGTAGATTCCAGATCCTCTTCCAGTATGCCCTAACTTTCTGGGCTTCACGATCATCGATTGGGGGCCTTGGGTATTGCTTATGAAGGAGGTCTCTGTAAGCTGACTAAACAGTGTAATCGCCATTCTCTGTCCTGGTCCAAAGTCTAGTATCTTCTCTGGGTGGGGTTTTAGGGGAATCTGCCTGATCGAGAGCTTATCTCGATCAGATAGCAGGTGCTCAGTCTCGATCAGATTCCAACCACCTTCTTCATGATTTATCAAATGGCTAACTTTCATGTTAGGGTCCCAGTCGCCTTTCTGTGAAATGGGAGTGAGGGTTTTTTATATAAGGAATCCACCAGTCATTTCAAACATTCACACTTTCGCCATTCCCCACTCTCCATTCGAAACCGTCAATGATCTCATCTTATGCTCTGACCAAGCTGCGCCACACATAGCTGGGGTTGCTCCCCAGCTTAGCATTAAGGATTTCCCCCCTTGTGGAAGTACCTCTCTTTGAGAATTCTTGAGAGTAGAGCCTCTAGTCTTGTGAGGATATTCCAAATCTGCTTCCCCAGCATTGCCGTGTTGACAATTTCCAGATTCTTGAAACCTAGGCCTCCTTCTTCCTTAGGCAAGCAAAGAGCATCCCACTTCAGCCAATGGATCCTTCGTTCTTCATGCTTCTATCCCCACTAAAAGCGGGCTATCATGCCTTGTATGTCATGCATAATGCCATCAGGGATTCGAAAAACCATCATGGGGTAGATAAGTTGAGCTTGAGCTACAGATTTGATGAGTATTTCTTTCCCAGCAGCAGAGAGAGTGAGACTTTTCCAATCCTTGAGTTTCTTTCGAACCCGCTCCTTTAGCTCATTGAAAACCTCTTTCTTAGATCTCCCAATCATGGTGGGGAGACCTAAGTACTTATGGTGCTTCTCTGCAATTTTATTCCCAGAGTTCCACTTATCTCTAACTTCCTGCTCCATTTAACGTTTCGGCTGAAGGAGATTTCGGACTTAGCCAGATTGATACTTTGACCCGATTCTTTCTCATAGATCTTTAGGAGATTCTTAATCTCATCACACTCATCAATGGATGCTCTTCAAATTCTAATATGAATATGAGTATGGGTAAAACCCAAACTATATTAGGTATGAGTATTTATAACGTGGGAATAGTTGGTGCATTCAATGCGAAGTCAAAGTTTTTCTTTTGTGCCTTCCAATCAGATGATTAGGGATAGACCAGAAATATGGTATCCATTGCCTTTCTCTCTGAAAATGCTCTCTTCTTCTCCCTATGAAAATCTCTCGTCGGCGAGTCCCCTGCCTCAAGCTGGGCGGCCGCCGGATATAGCGATTCTACCCTCTGAAAATCAACCCCAGCTGGCATCTGTCTCAGCGAGCCCGCCTCTGTCGTACAAAAACACTTTGGCTGGTCCCTCGACAAATCAATCTCTTGTTTCGAAGGCTAATCAATGGACCTTTGTAGGCGAGCATGCTATAGAGCTGGGATCTTTTGGTGGAGAGCCGGAGCTAAAGATATCGGCAAAACTTAAAGAACGACTCTGTGGTCCGTGGAAGAAGACTCTGGTTGTCCGATTACTCGGTAGATCAGTGTCCTATAACTATCTCTGCTCTTAGCTCCACTGCAATGGCGACCATCGGGCTCACTCGACAACATGGACTTAAATAACGAGACCTTTTTGGTCACGTTTGGTAAAGATCAAGATTATCTCAGGGCGCTTACGTGAGGACCTTGGGTTATACTCGATCATTACCTGGTGGTGCATCAGTGGTCACCGGCTTTTCGAACTTCTGACAAACCTCATCGGAGGGTGGTAGCGTGGGTTCAATTTCCGGAATTACCGGTCCATTTTTACCACCGAGAAGTTCTCTTCGCCTTGGGAAACCTGATCGGGAGGACGGTCAAGCTCGACTATCACACTGAGAAGCTAGAACGTGGGAAGTTCGCCAGACTACCAATCAAACTCGACATGACGAAGCCTTTGCCCACTCGTATCAGGTTAGATGGATTTTGGCAACAAGTGCTTTATGAGAATATTCCCCAGATTTGTTTCCAATGTGGCAGAATTGGCCACTTAGAAGACAATTTTCCATTGTCAAAATCTAATCAAGTGCTAGCCATCACCAACGGCTCGGGCTCTGATCAACTGCAAATCTCATCGGAATCATCTCCGGCGGAGCCCCCTTCCGGATTTGGACCATGGATGCACGTTACAAGAGAATCACGGAAACCTGCCAAATCCGGAAACATTGATGCGAACAGAGGAAACAACTTTCCCCTTATGGGGACAGCCCAAGTTGGGAAAGTTCTTCCAAAATCCTCTAAAAAAGGAAAAGGGGATATTAGAGCAACGACTCCTTTGAAAACTAAAGGAAAGGAGGATGGTAAATCGGCGAACAAGAAGGGTTCAGCAATGGTATCTAAAGGGAAGACTGTAGTAGTGGAGGGGCAAGCTACAGGTAGAAGGACTCAGTCGGACAAACTCATAAAGGAGTGGCGGGCTGTGGGCCAGCGGGAGGATATAGATAGTCAGGCCCAGCCCAGTGAAGCCTCTGGGTCTAATTTAGTTCAGAATACTTATGGGTTAGGGAAATCAGACTACAATGATGGAACTAGAAACCCAAACGGTTGTGGGAAAAAAACAACACTACAATCCACCTGATCTCTGTTCCTCCCTTAGCGACGAGTCTGAAAGAAAACAGGGACCCTACTGCTATCTCGACTTCCTCTGTTAGGCAGCACTATAGGAAGAAGCAAGCTAATCATTCTCCCGCAAAGGATCCCAATAGAGGCATCAGCCTCAGAGCTTCTAAGAAACCTGTTCATGTGGCTATCAATAAGCGAGAGCTAACCATAAACTGAAGGAAGCAGCTTTTCCAGTGACTATCAGTGCAATCGAAGATTTCATCGCACAATCGCAACAAAAGCAAAGTGATTTCGCGCCGGCCAAGGAAGGAAAACGGGTGATGTCGATATGGTGGAAATTCTGGGAGATATTCCCACAAATACTGTGTCGGCGAACAGGGAGCCTAGCAGTGACCCAACTGCAAATACTTGATCTTGGCTTTTGCGTTTTTCGATTGGTTTTCGTTCTCTTCTTTTTGTTGTTTATAATGTCAGTTTTTGCTAACTTCAACTTTAAAGTTCTTGCTTGGAATGTTTGTGGTACAGGAAGTAAGGAGTTTAGGAGGTCTATCAAGTTCTTAGTAGACACCTATAATCCGCATTTTCTCATTCTCCTTGAGCCCCAAATCAGTGGAGATAGAGCTACGACGGTCTGCAGCCGGTTGGGGTTTCCAGAGGTTTTTCGGGTAGATGCCGAGGGCCGGAAAGGAGGGATTTGGTTGGCTTGGAAACCAGACTCTTTTCAAGCTCAACTCATTGATGCGAGCCGACAGCATATTATTGTTAGGGTCTCCAGCAAATCTATGCCAGATTGGATTCTCACAGCAGTTTATGGGAGCCCAAATCACAAGTATCACTCGCTTCTTTGGGATCGACTTCGTTCAACGAGTGATTGTTTCAGCATCCCCTGGCTGGTTACTGGCGATTTCAACGCCTTCCGCCTTCCCTCTGAGAAAACTGGCTCGATTTCTTCTACTAATCTTTGGCGATGTCAACGTTTTGCTAATTGGATGGATGCTGCTAGTTTGATCAACTTGGGGTTCTCAGGGCCACGCTATACTTGGTTTAGAGGGGTGACTGAGAGAAATTACAAAGCCAGTAGAATTGACCGGTCTCTGTGCAATGATAGTTGGAACCAGGCTTTCCCAAATAGCACGGTGCAACATCTGCCAAGGCTTCATTCTGATCATCTCCCAGTGCTCACTTCCAATTCTTCTATTCCTCATTCCAATAGCAATAATAAGGCTTTTCGGTTTGAGGCAGCTTGGCTTCTACATGATCAGTTTATGGACTTTTTTGCAGGAACATGGAAAAGTGACCTGGATCTTCAGCAAGCACTTAAGGACATTGCCCCCAAACTGCAAAACTGGAACAATACGGTATTTGGTATTCTTCTCCACCGAAAGAGAAGGCTCCTTTCCAGGCTTCATGGAGTTCAAAGTAGACTTGCTTAGCATTTCAACAGGGGGCTTGTCAAACTTCAAGCTAAGTCGGAGCTCGATTCTCTCCTTGCACAGGAAGAAGTTGTTTGGTATCAAAGGGCTAAAGAGAAATGGGTGAAGCTCGGTGAGCAGAACGCTTCATACTTTCATCAACAAGCTACCATTCGACGTAGAAGAAATAAAATTCTCTCCTTGCGGGACACGAATGGGGTTTGGATTGATGATCCGTCTAAACTTTTGGATCTGGTGGTGAACTTCTTTAGCAATCTCTACACTCAAGATGAGCCACACTATCAAGATCTGATGCCGAAGAACAAGTTCCCCAGACTGTGTCAAGAGGAACTTCTCACCTTGTTGCGCCCTTTTAACATGGCCGACATCCACAAAGCAGTTTTCGGCATGAAACCTTTCTCGGCTCCTAGGCCAGATGGTTTTCAAGCGATTTTCTATCAGAAACTTTGAGGATCAGTGGGAAGAAGTCTAACTAATGTGGCGACAACTTTCTTTGAGACAGGTGTTCTTCCTCCCGAAATGCTGGAATCCACCATTGTGCTCATTCCCAAGATGGACCAGGCAGAGACACCTGCTCAGCTTCGCCCTATTTGTTTAAATAATGTGGGCTTAAAAGCGATTACCAAAGCCATTACCACCCGGTTAAAGCCTCTTATGAGAAAGCTAATTGCTCCAACACAGAGTGGCTTCATTCCTGGACGGCAAACAAATGATAACATTATCATTTTGCAAGAAGTTCTGCATACCCTTCGGAAGAAGCAAGGAAAAAAGGGTGGGATCATTATTAAAGTGGATCTGGAAAAAGCCTACGACAGGCTGCGGTGGGACTTCCTCCGAGACACACTGATTGAGATTGGTCTTCCAAGCACCTGGATTGGCAGAATCATGTATTGTGTCGAGCACAATAGCATGAGGATCAATTGGAACGGGCAACAGACGGATTCCATCACTCCCTCTAGGGGAGTAAGACAGGGAGACCCTCTTTCCCCTTACCTTTTCGTTTTTTGTATGGAGAGATTGGCTCATCGTATTGAACAAGAAGTCAATGATAAACATTGGAAGCCTATCTCTCTCTCCCCGAATGGACCTAAACTGTCTCATCTATTTTTTGCAGACGACCTAATCCTCTTTGCGGAAGCCGAACACAACCAGATTGATGTTATTAGAAGATGTCTCGATGACTTTTGTGCGAGCTCAGGCCAAAAAGTAAACCTTTCAAAGTCTGCCATGGTGGTGTCAGCCAATATTAGCCGTCAAAGAGCTCATCAACTCAGTGATAGAGCAGGCATACCTTTAACTAGTGACTTGGGCAAGTATTTGGGCATAAATGTGATTAATGGGCGGGTTACGAGAGCAAGGTACAAGGGAATCTGCCTAAAAATTCAAAAGAAGCTTGCTCTATGGAAAACGCGTTATCTCTCTTTGGCAGCCCGAGTTACATTGGTGAGATCAATCTCAACTTCTATGTCCATCTATCCTATGTTTTCAGAATCACTGCTGGTGTCTGTTTGCAATTTGATTGACAGGATTAATCGGCAGTTTGTGTGGGGTGAAGAAGAGGGTCGAACTAAATTCCACCCTATAGCTTGGGATGAACTAACTCTACCTCGCAGCCAAGGTGGAGCGGGAATCAGGCCAACTCGTGCTACCAATCAAGCTATGCTGGCAAAAGGCAGCTGGAGACTAGTTACTGATGATGACACTCTATGGACAGAAGTGATAAAGAACAAGTATGCCCGCTCGAGGGACGGCTTGGAAATCCTCACCAAAGCAAAGGGAAGTTCTTTTGCTTGGCGTAGCTTTGCCTCTGTCTTAGATGTGATCAAGAAAGGCTATGTTTTTAATATCTCTAATGGTAGAAGAGCTAAATTTTGGACGGATCCGTGGGTTTTGCAGGTTCCACTAACGGAGCTTGCTGTAACGGAGATTGACGCAGACAAACTGCACAGCAGGGTGGCTGACTACTGGGATGCTGATCAGGGGTGGCAAGTGGAGGAGTTTGAGTCCGTGTTGCCATCGAGCATCATCACTAAAATCAGAGTTGTGATGGTGGATCCTCTGGCTGCAGAAGATGATCGCCAATCTGGAATTTAACTTCAACAGGGAAGTTCACAGCTAGCTCTGCTTACATGTCACTTGTTCCTCAAAGTTCATATCAGCAAACCATTTGGCAAAAGATTTGGAGGCTGCAGATGCCTGAGCGGGTGCGAATGTTTATTTGGATGGCAATGAAAGGAAAATTAACCACCAATGCTATTCGCAAATACAGACACCTCACCCATGACGATTCTTGCCTGGAGTGTGAGGGCGTTCCTGAAACATACCTCCACTGCTTGAGGGACTGTGAAATAGAAAAGAGTGTGGAGCAAAGTGGTTCCAAGTGAAAGCCAATCAGATTTTTTCAATTGCAATTATGAGACATGGGTGATGTCTAATGTTGCTAATGATTCGCAAAGTAACGGGAGAGGAAATTGGGCCTCCTATATCAGCCTGGTGTTATGGTACATTTGGAAATGCCGGAATGACAGAGTCTTCAATGGCATCAAGCTCTCCCACTCGACGAGGCTCAATTATGTCACAGCCAAAGCGAATGAATGGTTGAAAACCTGGGACGCAGCTAGCGCAAGACTTGATCTTAACTCCAAGCCTGCAAGAACTGAGACCCTGATAGGTTGGGTAGCTCCAGCCACTGGATGGTGGAAGCTCAATACTGACGGGGCTGCTCAAAGTAATCCCGGTATGGCCACTGCAGGAGGTGTCCTGCGGAATTGTTGGGGTGACTGGATTAGCGGTTTTTGTAGCAAGCTTGGCACGGGCTCGGCTCTCCTTGCCGAATTGTGGGGCATTTTACAAGGCCTTCAGCTTGCTTGGCGAAAGGGAGCTCAGTTTCTCATCCTTGAATCTGACTCTCAGTCAGCTTTGAATTTGATTGAACAACGTTCAGACCCAGTGCATCCTTACTCGATGATTCTTGGAGCCATTCGCCGCATGATAGCGCAAAGTTGGGTGGTTCAACTTGTTCACACGTACAGGGAAAGGAATAGAGTCACGGACTGGCTCTCGAAGCACAGTCTCGTCTATCCCTTCGGTACGCATGAACTAGATAAACCCCCAACTAGTCTTCTTTCGATGCGGCAGGATGATGTTCGGGGAGTCAGCTTCCCGCGATAGGTTGTGGAGAATATTTAGGGTTGTTTTGTCCCTGTTTTAGCTGCCTGTTTCAGGTCTAGGAGTACCTTCTGTTGCTTCAGTTTGTTAATCTGTTAAGCTGGTATGGGAGGCTTGTGAGAAGCTTTTTTGGCTACAAGGTTTGCGCCCTGTCTGCTTCCTGAACTCTGTTCTACGGATACTCTTGTAACTCTCGGCTGCTTTTTAGCCTCCATTTAATAAATAAAAAAAATTCAGATGATTAGGGATTTGGACCTCATACTTTTGTCTGTCGTTATTGAGTTATGAGATGTTATCATTGGGCTCCCATTATGTGTTTCAAAAGTTAAAGGCCTTTCTCCAGTCTTCTTTCAACAACGGTCGATGACCACTGGACCAGATTTGGGCTTTATGTGGGCCTTACAGTATTGAGCGTGCAGGCTTACCCTCGCACCAATGAAGATTATGATCAATGATCTACACATAATATAATACACCGAAGGGAAAAACGGGAGTCCCATTTCAAATTTCCTGCAACGAGAGTGAAAATAGGAAGGACATTTCGGTCTTCACAATTACTTTTTTTTATTCATTAAAAAGACACGTACTAGGATTCGAACCATGTCCATTTTAAAGAAAAGCAAGGAACATAACCAATCACACTAAGTACATTTGTTGTATCTTTTTAAATCAAAAACATATAATAGCAGGGAGGAAAAACCCTTCCCCCATTTCAAATTCCATGCTCCATGAGCGTTTGTAGGAAGGGTAGAATAGGGAGTGTCAATTTTTTTCTCTTTCCTCTGTGGGACGGGCCAACTTACCGTACACATGCGGATTTAAACGGGTCCAGGAGTGTCAATTTTTTTCTTTAAGCCCTTTTATTTCTCCGTGGTGATAAAATATATATGGAAAGGCAAAAATAATACTCCTTTTTATTGCTAAAAATAAAAAAATTTAACAATAAACTAATGCATGGTATCTAATGGGCTAACCGCTAACCATAAAATAAAAGAGTTGAATGGGCCTGACCTACACGGGATTTGGCCATCAAGTCAAATAAATGAACATCATTGGTTTGTCATTCTAAAACAAGCTATTTTCTCTGACATAATATATATTATGCTAATTTATAATCACATGGTTCCCTGATACCCGATAAAAATCTCAATCCAAACCAGTTTGCCAGGTGAGTCTGTGTTTACGACCATTTTCTAGGAATACGACAACGGCGGTTCCTATCCCAAATCGTGTTGTTCGTTCTTGATTTCCTTAGATTTTATCATGGCCTAACAAAAACCAGAAAGCACAATGACGCAAGATGAAAGTTGTATAAAGCAAATTAATCAACCAACGGGCCGAGTAAAAGCTAGCAACGATTGTGAGATGCCCATTTCCCGAAAATCGACGGGATAGGCGATTTTTTATTCGATTTTCTAGAATTCGGTTTCTATAAAAATTACTCCACCTCATCATATTACCAGAAACAATATTGTTTCACAAGGTAACATGTACTTGACTTTGGTTCATAAGGACGATTTTTGATTCATTGCATCATTCATGTCTCTTTCCTACTAAAATTCACTATTTTTATCACGAGTTTTTAAATAAAAAAAACTATACAACAATAAGCTATACACCCTATTATATTATCAAATTTCATACCTCATCTTCCTCCGGCCAACTGGCCGAGACCCATGCTAGTGTAATTATAAGATGCAAGAAGCTTAAGTTCTTTGCTTTGTCAACTACCGGATAACTCTTGTTATTTAAATGTTTGCTTCGAGTGGGGGGACCTATATTGCATGAACATGCACATACATAGAATTAACCGTACCAATAAAGATTATGATTTCTAATCAGGTCTTATTCAATTTCCTAGATCAAATGGAAACTTTAACTGGATTTATATCATCGAAACCAAGGAAAGAAAGGAGCAATAGATTGGAATTTCTTTTTCACTTTTAATAAGGATAAATCACCCTTAGAATATTTTAATGATATTATACTAATTATCTCTAATTGTATTCCATTTATTCCTTGTAAGAGAACGTAACCATAGATAACTAGCTTACTGTATATTTTGTTGTATAAGTTAACAATATTAATGAGAAGCAAACGCCCAACATTAACAATCGAGTTTTATAGAGTATTCTCGATATATTTTGTGGTCATTGCTTACATTAACCTATATGAGACTTATATGGATGAGTTCAATATTTTAACTATTCAAAACCAGGTGGTTTCGTAGCAATCATAAATTTAATGTACCGCATATCTTCGATAAGAAACGATATTTAGACATCAAATTAACTTTATTTTGAAACATGATACTATACTCTTACTTTTAATAAGTGAACCTTAGATCATAAATATCTAAATCGTACACGTTAAATCCTAAAATAATGCATGTAATTTGTTGCATGTATCTTGACGAATCATAATCGTTGGTTATTATTTTTATTTAAATTGATCTTAGTGTATAAAATTTAGATAATTGAGACCTAGATTTTAGTTTTTAAGAGATAGTATAGTATCAAGTAGAGATGGCTTTTCAATCCAATCTATCCACTTAAATATCCAACTAGTACTATTCATTTTATTCAAATCCAATTGGATTGGTGGACTCATGGATTGTTGGCAAGTTACAATTTAGTACCTCTATTTTATATATATTACAATTTGGCCCCTAAAATATTTTTTGACTAAAAATACCATTGAAAATTTACGTTTTGGTATCTATTTTTTATAATATTTTAGTACCTAAATTTTTTCAAAATGTATATTTTGGTCCAGTATTTCGATGCCACTTGGATTCATAATCCAATCTATTCGTTACTTCTATCAAATCAAAGAGTTTGAACATTTCATACATGCCCCCCTGAAATGAAAGTCGATGCCGAATCGTGGATTTTTACAGTTTGCACAGGTTGAACCCTTGTGCTGCTAAACCACGAGGCGTTAGTTTGCACAGGTTGGACAATGGACATACCATCCCTTGTGCTAAACAAATGACATTAAATGGGGGTCGTCATGAGGATTCGAAACCATGATTTTTCGATTCTAGACTCTAATATCATAATAGCGAACTAACCAATTGGTCTCAATAACTCGAGTTATTTGAAAAATGATTTGTTAAACCCTAGTAACCTCTTACGTACACTCAGGTATATGAAAGCCCTCGTATTTACCCAGGATAGAACTTCCCTCAAAATCAGAGTTTAGTTTCCAGTATGTATATATGCTTGATATAGTTAACTACAAGCGCCGTTGCTTGCCCTCCGAATTGGTCCCTGCGCGCTCGTGAGTCGTGACCATTCCATGAAATAAGTTTCTATCCGTTTCTGACAGTTCTAAGTGAATAATAAATTAAATTTTTAGCAGCAGCACTGTTTTTTCGCCATGTCGGCCAGACTTTTGGTCCAGCCCGTTGTCGATAGTACTGGAATTCATATTCAATGTTTAACATACTGACGGATAATAGGAGAAATCCCAAAACCGTGGTAAAGTGTGTATTTTTTTTTTTTTGTTTAAATTATGGGGAAGAAAGGGGCCTACTATAGGACACAAAACTGAAGACAGGTTACTATTTGAAAGACAGATCGGAATACTCTTTTATATAACAAAAGGAAAGACAGAATGCAAATAGTCTTGGTGAATTATTGTCATTTTTTGTTTCCATTGCCGACTGAAATTCGAATTTCTGTTTTTTGCTTCTTTTATCAACCACAAAGGATCGAGGTAGTAATATAAAGAATACGAAAGTATTGTGTCCAGAAAAAGAAAAGATTGTGTAGTACGATAGATATTGCCGCTCGACATGACATGACATACGTACTTGGACATATTTTATTGCTGAAAATTCTTGATGCGACAATGAGGAAATACATACGAAATTGTTGATATGGAGATGGAGTCGCATGAAGTCGTGGAGATATGCAACGTAATTAACTACCATTTTTATCCAACAGTTTTGACTATTCAAAGGTTTGGGGAAAAAATAATATATATTCATGGTCGACAATGTTAGTCAATGTATTTTACTACATTTTGTTTATATTTGAAACCGTCACATAAATATTTGATTATAAATTTTAGTTTTGTTAAGTTCGAAGTTCAAATATACTGGAGTGGTCAAATTAGCTCCAGGAACGGCTCCGTCTTCTTGACACTTGCCTTTAATTAGGGATATTTGAATGGTTATCAAGACTATTATCAAATAATGAGAGTCTAAAATCTATTATACATGAAATAAACATCTTAATCAATTCGACTAAATTAATACCAACAACCAAATCATTCAAACCAACGATTAATAAATGGTTTAATTAGTTAATCGATTAACCAATATAATATAACATTACATGAAAAGCTTCTGTATTTAATGCACCGACCCACAATATAACAGCAGAACTAAGACTCACTTTAGAGAATAAGTCCCCCAAAATTAATGAATACAATTACTGATTTAGGGTTCAACTCATAGTCATATAGATTGTGACTATCAATCTGACCTAAGCATCTTTCATAATAAGAGGTTAATAGTAATCCGCACCAGAGGAGTTATACGAAGCTTCATCATTTAACATTGATTGTGGTTGTGGGAATTCAGATTAGGCCAGTTACAAAATAATTGACAAGGTAATCCATTAATATAGTAAATAAAGTAAAACAATATAGTGCATATATTGCTTAATTGGTTTGGCTGGTTGGCTTGGTCATTAACACGCCAAATTAAATCAGACTCTAAGAGTAAAAGGATAAGAGGGTAGTAACCAAGCGACCAAAAATACGCAGACAATTATTACTCTCCTAGGGAGCATATTCGGTGCATAACCCTATATTTATCATTTATAGAAGATTACTAAATGATTGGTTATGTCTCTTTTGTTTTAAGTCGAAAATTAAAAATATTTGCACAGAAATTTAAATTATTTGTGCTCTTCAAAATAAAATAAACTTTGATATATTTTGGAACTAAAAAATTGAGACATTTATTATCAGTTCATATCATGTGGTACTACTTTGTATGTACATTAGATTATATCACGTGTTATGAAAGTTTGCCATGGTGGTGTGAATATACCATAATGATGGTTATATACATGATGATACTACAAATATACTAACTATCATTTACCACATTTCATCTCCATCAATTGCCACCCTATATTAGGATGGTATAAGGTGGTATATTTGATAAACTAGAAATATATAGATCCAATAGATCACTGTAAACTCATTCCTTCAGAGCAAACTTATTCAAAATATGTGTCGAAACAAAGGTGGTATTAGGTGGTAACAGAAACGTGGTAAGTGGTAACGTGTGGTATGTGATTTCTTACTCAAAATATATTGAAAATGGATCTCATTTGTAGATCACAATGAACCTGTTAAACTTTTGAAATCAGAACGATGAAGATAAAAGTTGATTAATAAAACTACGAAAAATAATGAACAAGGGATTGGTCACGTGGTAATGCCACTAGTCTTGAACCTGGTGGTCCCAGGTTCGAATCCCTTAAATAGGACTTAATCACTAAAAGAAAACTACGAAAATTAAAAGAACATTTTTTCTCAGTCCTTAGATCCGACACCACTTCAAATCGAGGACCCGTATATGTTTATGCAAGTGTTATGCCCCCAGATTGTGTATATATATACAATCTAGCTTAATTAGGCCGGTGCATTGTGATTGTAGAGGAGTCGTTCCTATCCACAATTATATATATACATAGTGCACTCATAAAAAAAGTACGCACACAACTCCAAAGTAAATTGGATTTTGATGGGCATTAGTATGATATGACGATATAGAATATGATCATAACTAATCAATGTGTTACCCTAAGTTCTAAACCTTTAATTTTAACCGTAACTCAAATTCTCAAATTATAAACCCTAAACTCTAACCCTATTTCCCCCAAAATCCTTCAAATTAAAGTAAATATTAACAGACCGTTTGGTACCAAATGAATCGAGAATTCATTTTATTATAAAATGAATTACCGTGTAGAATTCATTGTCAAATGAAATATTGTGTTTGGTGTATTATATTCAAATCCTTAGAAATAAGATGAATTGTTGTGCAGAATTCATTGTGAAATGAATTCCTGTGTTTGGTATGTCATATGTATAAGTAATTTTGTTGATAAAAGAGGATAATTATATCATTCTATTATAATTAGTAAATACTTGTGGAATTCATTTGGAAATTTCATATCAACTCCTCGAAATTACTATAACTAGTTCCAATTCCATAGAATTCAAAATTTAGAATTCAAAATGAATTCTTTTAAATATCAAACACATGAATATTTCATTTCAAAATGAATTCCACAGAACTTTTGAAATTCATTTATACCAAACGGTATATAAATAATTTTTGTGCAAATTTATGGGTTTTCTTTACCATTATATCACTAGTGACAATTGATATCATGTTGAAATAAATCGTTTGCTCATAATTATGATTACAAGGCAAATGCATAAAATGCACCCAAAAAAATGAGTGTACCAAAGTTAATACTATATATATAATGATTTTAATTTTATCGGACAAATCTTGGGTACCATATACTATTAGTAAATTTTTTTGTTGTCAAGCTAAACGAAATTTGGGAGATGATAATATACTCCAACTCTTAATGTGTAAGCCATAAATTAGACACCCTAAATCCTAAAATAATGCATGTTGTTTGTTGCATGTATTTGCGTCATTTATAATTTCTAACTAAATTGATGTTAATGTATTTATGAGATTTAGAGATAAGACTTGGAAATCCATTTCGATTCTCCTGCTGCCTCAATAATTGAATTGATCTTCTATCTATTCGTTCATACTAAAACCCTAATACCAACCACACGTGAAACGCCCACGACAACCCTAATTAGTCGGCCTCCCCTGACAGAAATTAACCCTAACAATAATGAAGCCCCCCTTCCCCACAATAACCCTACTCTGCCACATATACCTACCTACCTTGTAGAGAAAAATAGTAATAATAACAACAATTATAAACTAATCAATCCTTAATTACCAAACCATGATTGTGCATCTCTTCACCTCTTGGTCCCTCTCTCTTCTCATCATCTGTAGCTTTGGTGTCTGTCTGCAAATACAACTTACGTGTCCAACCGTCCCATCTTAGAGTACGTACGTAGTTGGTCCTTTATAAATAGACTCCCCAAGGTTCAGCTTTGATGGACCACATCTACAACATACTCACTCATTTTCCTTCTCCCTTAGAACGTACCCCTTTCATTTTCCCAACCCACCAAAGCTTAGCTTGCTTGCTAACCAACACATCATGGCTCCTGGAGATAGCAGCCAACTTCCGGTAACCTCCGCCGCCGACGGCTCCGGCACCAAAGCCCGGGGATGGTTCATCCCTTACCTCGACTCTCCATCCCCTTTCCAGAAGGTCCGTTTCGTTTTGAACGTAGTAAAACACAAAATCTGACATAGATCATGTTATACATTATAAATTGATATTTTTTGTTTTGTTTTTTGCTGTTGGGTTTCAGATTGCGGCAGAAGTTGTGGGGACGTACATGCTGGTGTTCATGGGCTGCGCCGCCGCTCTTACCGACAGGGTTCAGAAGCTCACCATTGTCGGGGTGGCCATCGTGTGGGGGTTCGTGCTCATGGCTGCGATTTACGCCGTCGGCCACATCTCCGGTGGTCATTTCAACCCCGCTGTCACCGTCGCCCTGGCCACCATCCGCCGGTTTCGATGGAAGGAGGTGCCGATGTATGTGCTGGCTCAGTTGCTTGGAGCGACGCTGGCGAGCCTGACGCTGAGAGGGCTGTTCCACAACCAGGCCGACATTGATCCGATAATGACGCAGTACGCGGCGCCCACCTCGGATCTCGTGGCTTTCACCTGGGAGTTCATCATAACTTTCACTCTTATGTTCAGCATCTGCGCCAATGCCACCGACGACCGCGCGGTACGTACGATTTGTGTGCCTTGTTATGCAAGTCATCGATCGACGGAATAAAAAAAAATATATTATCTAAGATTCAAAAAAGTGAACTATAAATGTTGATCATTGAAATAATTTAAACGTGTAATAAAATTTCATGTAACGCTAATTAACGATTGGTGAATGCATTCAGAGCAAGGGCTTTGCTGGGTTTGCAATCGGCTCGACACTGCTGGTCAACGTCATGGTTGCGGGGTAAGTAGCGATACAGTCTCTCGAATCTATGTAATTATTATGGATCTTATACCACTCTCTTAATATTATTATATACGTACGCGCGGTTTGTAAACAGGCCGATAACCGGGGCGTCGATGAACCCTGCGAGGAGCATCGGCCCGGCAGTGGCGTCTGGAGTGTTCAAGAACCTGTGGTTGTACATCGTGGCTCCTGTTCTTGGAGCACTGGCAGCAGCCATGGTGTACAGTGGGCTCCGAGTACCCTTGGCCGCGCCGCCACCGCCGCCGGAGAAAAAAGAGCAAGGATCCATTTAACAGCCAGGCCCAGGCCCGTTGGATCGATATGAACGTTACGTACAATAATGGAAGGCAAGGTAGCTAGCTAGGCAGCTGATGGAGCATGCACTTTTGTCCCGACATAGCTTTTCCGACACGGCCAAAAGAAGCGGTTGTCTCGAATCGACCGAGGGCCCCGATGCTGCATGGCCATGAATATGTTGAAGGAAGGAATCTCAACCATGTAATGTATCTATCTGTTTGGAATAAGAAGGGATATGAGTCGTCGATCGGTTTTCAGTAAGCGAGTCGTTATAGTTTATGATGGTTGTTCTACTTCTACGTGTAAGGGTCAGTGAGTGGTTAGGGTGGGTTTGGAGGTCAAGTAGTGTGTGTGGCTGGCTACTTCTACTTCCTTTGGTTGTTATAAAGTTGTTGTTATAATTAAGAGTCTCTTTTTAAGTAAGATTTACGTTGGTAATAAGGAATTTCGTTTTTCTTGGATTGGATTTCTTTATATGCAAGAGTGAAAAAATAAATAAATAAAAAAACCCACCTTCCTAGAATATTTGAAGAAAAAATAACCATTCAAATGATCAATTGCGAGAGAAAATTGATTTCTAGTGATGGAATTTTGATGAGGGAAAAATTTTCAAATTACAAAGTGTTTAGCTATATTTATTCATAAAAAAAATTGTTTAGTTATATTTAAAATATTTGATGAGAGTCAAATTAGAAATTTCTAATGTAGTGTAGAGATGTTAATGACTAAAATTTGTTAATAGAAGAATTACTAAAGTGGATGATGTGTTTGTAGTCGATATTGTTGACGAAAGAAAATTTCACCCTTTTGTCTCATAATAATCCTCCAATAATATATAGTAGAGTTTTATGAACTTTTCTCACTTTCAAATTTCCTGCAACGAGAGAGAAAGTAGGAAGGACATTTTTGTCTTTACAATTAAATATTTATCTCATATAAAAATATCAACATGGGGATTCGAACCCGGGTCTCTTAAAAAAAACAACAATCACAACCAATTACACTAAACAAATTTGTTTTATCCTTTTTAGTACAAAGCATACACAAAGTTAGACTCTGAAAATTGGATGAATTTTCCATCATGATTATCAAGCCCACTAAGTCTACCGTATATATTTTTATGGTGCTTGATACTTCAGTTTTCATAGTAGCTAGAGTTTCATGTAATTTTCTCAATTTTAAATTTTTTGCTCTCGCCTTAATTTTTTTGCTAAAGATAGATTGGTAATTGGCTACCATAGAAGAAACTAATTATGTTACTGCGTGTTGTATCCTTTAAATTTTCAATTTAAATTTAAATTTAGTGCTTTTTTATTTTTGTTCTTATCTCTTTTAACTTCCTTCGAAATTCCCTCTATCGTGCAATAGTTTACGCCCCTTTCACTTTTCAATACAATGCCGCCTTTGAAATCAATCTTTTGGTATCTCTTGGCACTACGATTTTATTATTGGAGATTTAAGCTAGGCAAGTAGAAGATTTCAACTCCAATATCAATTCATGACAAATAGAATGGAGTTCAATTAATGGAGTTGTAGAAGAAGGATTAGAGATTGAATTTTTTATTGAAACATATGTCTCTTGAGATAAAATAAAAAAATTTAGTTCTACAACAGAGAGTGGTGACTATTGGACCTTTAGGTTTATGGTTTTTGCAGCTAGGTCGATTCTTTATTCAACCTACTGGAACTGATAGATACGGAGTGTCTAATTTTGTGTCTTATTACTTCGATCGAGTTTATTAGCATATTGGAGGTAACCCTAATTTAGTCGTTTGCTCTCAAGTTTTATTGGTCCCTCTTAATTGAGTTGTTAGTATATAGTTGACTTGAATCAACAACTCTCCATTTCTTTTTTATTAGTGGCATATTGTTTCTAAGGAGAACATTGAACCCTTTATGTAGGATTGTGAGGTTTAAAATTGTGTTTCAAACTATCTATGGTGTGTGGGAATTCCAATGAGCTTTTGTACTCTATCTTTCTTGACAATCAACTAACTAATAGCATTTTAATTGGGGCTTAATTATCATTATAAAAATGAGATCAATCATTTTTATATTTTATATTCTTATTTCTCCAAAAGTTCGACCTATATATTATTTCTTTATATATCATCTAGATCGAAGAATTGTCAATAAAATTAAACGGGTTGATAGACTTAAATGTAACATAAAAATACAAATAATCATATATGAACATTCCGGCTAACGGGCCGGATTATAAGCTAGTAATAATAATAATTTACTTAACTGACCAAAATAGGGAAAAGGGGAATGGATGGAAACGAAATTTAGCGAACGGATTTTTTTTAAAGACGAGATGACTGAAATTAAGTACCGTACTATTTTTTGTTCTGGCAGATATATGTTTTGTTTTTTAAAATATATATGGGGAATTCTACGGTACCTAGGGTGAAATCTGGGGTACCGCATATCTTGAGTAAGAAAACGCTATCCAAAATTTGAATTGACTGATCTTTCAGACCATGGTTGTCAAACCGGGGTCGAACCGGCCGGTCGAATCGGGTCTGACCGGAACCGGGCACTAAAAGGGCCAGAACCAGCCATAATTAGAGCTGGCCGGTAGCCGGTTAAAACCGGGGGAAACCGGGATCTGACCGGACTGATCCGGCTACCGGTTTTGAGGGAAATGGCGTCGTTTTTGGCTGGTTGGAACTTCTTCCAACTTCAATAACCCTAACACCTATCTATCGCGTCCGCCGTTCCCAAATCTCCTCCCTCGTCGAGCCCAGCCAGCAGAGCAGAGAACACCTGCGGCAACAACCAGCACTGCAGCCGCTCGCCGTCGGCGCTCCCCTCGTCGCGCCACGCCGGCGCTCCACTCGCCACTCCTCGCCGGCGCTGCCCTCTTCTCGACCCAGCTCTGCGCTTCCTCGCCGCCGGACTCCTCGACCCAGGTCCCCGCTTCCTCGACGCCGCTCGCCGTCGGCCGCCTCGACCCAGTGCCCCCTTCCTCGATGCCGCTCGCCGTCGGCCGCCTCGACCCAGGTTTGATTTCCTTTTTCAGCAGTGGAAGTGAGATTGGGTTGTTGTTTCAACTCTTATTTTGTTAATAATTTATTTTTTTACAGGTTGATAGATGGAATCAGGCGATGCATCAAGTCAACCCTCAGTTACCAATAGTGTTATTGGTGCTACTGGATGGAAAGACGTGGATCAAGTGCAAATTGTGTGGTCATTTGATAAAAGGAGGTGGAATTCATCGAGTGAAGAAGCATTTGGCTGGAGAAAGGGGTAATGTTGCAGCTTGCAAGGCCGTTACTCATGATGTTCATGCGAGGTTCAAAGCTCTACTTGCATCTTCCGGCAAGCGAAAGCCCGCTGAAAAAGATAATGATGTTGCTTCTGGGGAGCAATATAGTACAAGTGTTGTGCGCCAAGTGACTAGTGCACCATCACTGCCTAATTTCTTTGCACCAAGAACAACTCCAGGAGCCCAACCTGGCATTCGAAGTGCTTTAGCTGGAAGAGATTCAAAGAAGACTGCTGATCTCATAGTGGCTAAATGGTTTTACCATGCAAAACTCCCTTTCAATGTTGCACACTTCGAGTTTTATCATATGTCATATGATGCAGTTGCTGCAATTGGACCTGGATATAAGGTACCTTCTTACCACCAATTGAGAGTGACTTTGCTGAGAGAAGTCAAACTAGAATGCACTTCGATTATACATGATTATCGTAGAACTTGGGAACTTACTGGATGCACTCTGATGGCTGATGGTTGGACTGATATGAGTCAAAGATCATTGATTAACTTTTTAGTCTATTGTCCAAAGGGTGTGTGTTTCATCAAATCGGTGGATGCATCAGACATGGTTAAAGATGCTAAGAATTTGGCTGAGTTGTTTGGTGGTGTGATTGATTTGATCGAGGCAAAGAATGTTGTGCATTTTGTCACTGATAATGCTGCTAACTATGTTGCTGCGGGAAGGCTTGTTCATGAGAAGTATAAGACATTATTTTGGTCTCCATGTATGGCGCATGTTCTCAATCTTCTATTGAAAGACATTTACAAGTTGAAACATGTTTCAAGTTTAGTCTCTCGAGCTCAGAAGATTAGTGTGTTTGTTTATAGTCATCTTCCTATCCTATCTTTTTTGAAGAAGTTGGAGGGTTAGAAACAGATTGTGCGTCCTGGAGCTACTCGATTTGCTACTAGTTTCATTTGCTTGAGAAGCATTTATGAGCATAGGTCATTGTTGGAACAGCTTGTTACAAGTAATTTCCTTGCATCTCACAAGTTGGGGAAAAGTGTAGAAGGGAAGCATATCAAGTCTATTGTGTTGGATAACAACTTCTGGCAAGAGTGTTTGGTAATGGTCAAGTTGACAATACCAATTGTGAAATTGTTGAGGATTGTTGATTCTGATGAGCAGCCATCTTTGGGATATGTTCATGATGGAATGATTAGGATTAAGAAGACCATCAAGAATACTTTTTTGGGTAATGGAACAGGGGCTGATGTGTATATGAGGTTGATTGATGCGAGATGGGAGAAGCATCTTCAGCGTAACATTTATGGAGTTGCATATTTCTTGAATCTAGTTTTTCAGTATACCGAGGAAGGTCGAGGTGAGCGTGGAGTTCAAGGTTGTCTTATCGACTTCCTTGAAACCGGTGGGTTATGTAGTGATGTTAATGAAGCTATTCAAGAGATTAGACTTTATAGAGATAGGTTGGGGAGTTTCAGAAAGAAATCAGCTATCTCATGTGCTACCACTTTACCACCAGGTAATCAATTGTAATAACTTATTAGCTTGTATCTTGTATTTATGTTACGAAATTCTAATTGCTTGAAAATTGTTTTTATTGAATAGTTGAATGGTGGACACTATATGGAGATGATGCTCTGAATTTGAGGCAGATTGCTATACGAGTTTTGTCTCAAACATCATCATCTTCTGGCTGTGAGCGAAATCGGAGCGTGTTTAATCAGATTCATAGTAAGCGGAGGAATCGATTGGAGCATCAAAGGTTGAATGATCTTGTTTATGTGACTTACAATCTGAGGTTGAAGAATAGGTAATGTTTAATTTGCATAATACATTGTAAACCTTTTTAATATTTCATATACTTAATTGCTTTTATTCTATTTTACTTGTAGGTGCTTAAAGAAAGAATGGAAGAAAGATCCAATTGATTATGAGCAATTAGACAAGATTGATTTTTGGATTGTGGAAGAAGATCCACCTGCAGATGTAGACTATGAGGAGATTGAAAGAGCTCTTTATGAGGAGATGGAAGATGAATCATCCTCCTCCTCCTCCTCAAGAAAGTGATCTCGTGTTGAAGGTTGGCTTATAATATTATTGTTTAAATTCAAATGCATTCTTCATACAATAATGAAATTGTCATTTCTCATTACTAACTATTTTTTGGTTTTATGGTTTTGGTATAGAGGACTTTGATGATTATGTCACTGATGAAATTGATTTCAACATTTCTCAAATTGTTGAAGCAATGGACATGGAGATGGATGCTTTTATCTTTGAAGATGTTTGATTGTCTCCTTTAATTTTTAGAGTATGAATTTCAAGTAAGAACAATTGAATGTTGTCATTTGTGGGATTCAAGTATGAATATTCTGATAAATGTTTGGATGTTATTCACTTCTCCTAGATGTCAGTGTTTAAAACTTCAAATGTGAGGATTTGGTTTGTAATGATGTATGTTATTTATATATAAATCTAGGTGTATTGAGAATTTGAGATTGCCTTTGAGATGTCATATATATATGCATAATTTATTAGGTGTCAATGGCTCTCCAACATATCTTGTCAAAACCGGCTTAACCCGGTTGAACCCCGATCCGACCATTAAATCCTAAACCCCTTGTCAAACCGGCCGAATGACTTAACCCGGTTTGACAACCTTGTTTCAGACATGATACTATACTCTAACCCTTAAAGATCAACATCGAGGTCTTAATTCTCTAAATCTTATACCCCAAGATCAATGTAATAAAAAAACAATAATCGACTGTTATGATTCGTCCAAATATAGGATAAAAATCAATGCACCATCTTAGAGTTTATAGTTTATGATTTAGATAATTAGGACCTAGGGTTCACTCATTAAAAGTTAGGGTATAGTATCATGCCCAAAAATCCTGCTAATTCGAGGTCTAGATAGCGTTTTCATACTCAAGGTATTCGGTGCCCCGGATTTCACCCAGGGTACCGTAGAAGGCACCATATATATATATATATATGGCAAAGGCTAGCATACGCCTGACGTACGCTATACGCCTGTGTTCACACTATAAATCAATTTTAATTATAATTAAATTAATTCTAATTATAATTACAACCACACCCGTTAATAAACTCTTTTGTGCGCTTTAGTCACACAACATTTTCTATCCTACATTATACATAAATCAATCATCTCAATACCCACTTCTCCATCTGTTCCCAAAACCCTCGAAGATCTGCAAGTTCTCGAATCTCGATCAATTCTTAGCTGCTGGAGTATGGGACGACGGTCAGCGGCATGATAAGCAGAGGTGAGAATGGCAATCTGGAAGGCTTGATGGTGCAGTTCTTGTTCCTGTGGTCAACTTCGTCGAGGTTGTTCATGCCGGCCACCGGATGCAGTTCACCGGCAAGATCGCCTCCGCAAGTTCCCTCCTCGATGGGTTTTACGCAGCCTGGATTGCGGCTGCAGGTTCGATTGCAACATATTGGGTCGGTGTTGGGCTCTGCAATTTCCTAGCTCTGAATTCTAATTTTGTAACTAGGTCAATTAATAGTATTAGTTAGATACATATATGAATGGTGATTGAATAATGAGGCAAAGACATCGTGTATGTTCTATTTAATCACTAAAATGAATGAATGACATTTATCTAAGGGATCGAAAAGGTCGATATAGTTTCCTGTTTATTGGAACCACGGCTAATCTTTCTAAACCAGTTGGAAGCTCTGTTTTAAGAACCAGTCCACCTGGTAGTTATCAGCATCAATGGGACATGATATCAAGTAAATGGTCTACATATCCTCTCTGGAGGGTACGATTTATCAAGATGGAGGTTATTCAGCTTCGTCAAAGATCACCCTGGCAAGAAATTGAATTTCCAAAAGTGCTCAAACCATCACTGTCAATGTCACTCCCTCCCCCTATTATCGTTCTGGAAAATAGAGGGTATTTCTAGTATGGGACCTTGCTTCCTTTCCCATTACTTTACTCGCCGCCGGCATGGTGGTCGCTGAAATTTGGAAACGTCACCGGATCCCTGTAATCTATGGTTTGTTGGGTTAAAGCGAACTTAATGTATGTGATAGTAATTAGTTTTTTACTTTTTATAATAATTAATGTAGTTATAATTAATAATTACTTCATGTGTGAACGCAGGTGTATAGCGTATGCAAGGTGTACGCTAGCCTAAACCATATATATATATATATATATATATATGGTTTGTTTCAGTAGGCTTATTATTTTGGAAGCATGTTATGCTCATGTATTATAATCGTCATTCTAAGTAGACAATTCATGCCAAAACATTAATCTCACTTATGATACAATGAACAAGAAAACTGATAAGTGCTCATTTATACATATTTTGGCACTCGATTCTTGATCGTTTCTTGATTATTTGCCTTGAAAACACTCTCTTGATAGTCGATTTTATACTAGTTTGTGTCTTTTGCCATATTTAAGCTCCTAGCATGCGGCGAAGGATTGGGAGTTAAGTTTCATGGTATTTGAAGGTGAAAAATTACCCAAGGAGGTCCAAACGAAGAAGTCACAACCAAGTTATTGAGAATCACGACCGTGGAATTTGGGCATAATGGCTAGGGGTGGGCACGTGGATGGTTAATCCGCGGATTGATATCGATCCACCCGCAAATAACCCGACTCTCCAGCAGTGGGTGATTGATGTGGGTTGATTGCGGATTGATAAATCTCACACCCGCAGTTATGTGGATGGGTGGACTGCGGGTAACCCGAATGATCCGCATCTTATTTTCACCTGAAAAAATATTGTTTTGACTACTATCATTGGTTATTGTATTGTGTAATATCCATTTTGGATATTGGATTGTAAATTATTTTTAATATCCATTAAATATTGGGATGAAAACTTTCAATTATTAATTTTATCAAAATCACGAAAAACGTAAGTTTTCTCTACACAATTGGTTGATAGAGCAGTAAAAATAATTTCTGCAAATACTACATGGATTCACTTGACACAAAGTGAGAAGTGTTTAAATTGATACAATCTTACTACTGTACTATGAACTTATTATAAATGTTAGTCAACTTTCTTAAGGGCTAGTTGGAGAATTGCTCTTGCGGGTTAACCCACGACCCAACCACACTCATCCGCCACCCACCCAACCCGACCCGCAGAAGAATGTGGGTGGATTATGGGTCACAATTATTCAAACTCGCTAGTAAGCAAGTGGGTTACTTTGAAACGAAAATCCGCCCAACCCGCCCATTGCCCACCCCTAATAATGACAATAAAAAAGCCCGACTTCTACGGGAGAAACACGACTGTATTTTTGATACCTGATGAGGTCGTTTCTTTGCCTCCGATCCGGTATAAATAGGTTGTCATGATTTTTTAATGGGGATCTGGATTTCGACTTTCAAACCCCCAAAAACGACCCTTGTTTTTAGAAGAAAATTAAGTACCATACTATTTTATTTTTCTCAAAGATGTATCTTCATTTTATTAAATATACACATGGTTTTGTTTTAGGTGTACTTACCTTTTTTGAATTGTTATGCTCGTGCATAATAATTGTAATTCTAAGCAGACGATTCGTGTCAAAATATATTAATCTCACTTGTGATCTAATGAACAAGAAAAGGGATAAGTGCTCGTTTATACATATTTGATCCTCGATTCTTGATCGTTATTACTTGATTTTTTACAGTCAAAACGCTCTCTTGTTAGCCGATTTTACGTTAGGTTGTGTTCTTTTTGTCATATTTCAGCCCCTAGTGTGTGGTGAAGGATTGGGAGTTGAGTTTTAGGGCATTTGAAGGTGAAAATGAACCAAGGAGGTCGAAAGGAAGAAGTCACGTCCATAACATTGAGAATTACGACTGTGATTTTTGGGCATAATTGAAATAAAAAAACTCGGCCTCTACTGGAAAAGCACAACCGTGTTTTTGAGACCCGAGGTCGTGTCTTTGCCTATGCTTCGGGTATAAATAGGATGTCTGTGATTTTTTAAAAGGGAAATGGATTTTGAACTTTCAAACACCCAAAGAACGAACCTTAGAGAGGGAGAGCAATCTAAAGAGTCTTGAAAGGGGGATTGAATGATTTCTACACCATTGGAGTTTAAGGAACAAGTCTAGAAGAGAAGAATGAAGATAAAAAGCTTATTCCCATCATCATGAAGTCAATCCACTTTTTCTCTATATGGACTTAACTTTCTTTCACTTGGGTATAAGTGCATTGCACCCAACTATAAAAGTGGGGCTAAGACGTAAAAATATGAATTTTAATTGGTAGCATTAGTTTAATATGATGATATAACATACAATCACAGTTAATCAATGCATTAGTCTAACTTCTAAACCTTCAATCTTGAGTCCAAACCATAAATACCAAATCCTTCAAATCAAAACAAATTTTGAATGTTTTTTTTTAAACAATCATGCATTTTCTTGTCCATCATATTACAAGTAATAATTGACATCATTTTTATATAAATTGCATACTCAAAAGAATTATTATGAGGTTAATGCACAACATGCACACAAAAAAAAAAGTCAGTGAACTGAATACAAAACCATACGTGTATAGTGTATACAAGTCTTTATCATATTTTATGTATGCATGTATGTATTGGGAGAATTATAATTTTACAGTACCCTGAGTCATTCGATGGAATCTAGTAAGTAGGATGTGTTAGGGTTTAAGGTTTTGTTTCATTAGATGGTAGGTATATAATATCATAGCTCCAACTCTGATTAATACGACACGAAACTATGTCTAGAGTTTATCTATAAGAAATTATAATATAATACTATATTTTAAATTCGGATTAATTCATGATATATATATATATATATGGTGACTACTTCGGCGCACTCACAAAAATAAGTGCGTTCAATGCACACAACTCAAAAACTAGTCTTAAGAAGTCGGATTTTGAATTTTAATTTGTAGAATTAGTATAATATGATGATATAATATATGATAACAACTAATTAGCGGATTACCCTAAGCTCTAGACCTCCAATTTTGAGTTCTATCCCTAAACCCCAAATTGTAAACCCTAACCCTAACCCTAGATCTTTAAACTCTAAATCCTTCAAATTAAAGCAAATATTTCATGGTTTTTATGCAAATTCATGTGCGTTATTGTTCATCACATCATAAGTGATGATTGACATCATTTTGACATAAATCTCATGTTTAAAATGATGATTATGAAGCGAGTGCACTGAATGCACTAAAAAAAGTGAGTGCACCGAAGAATCCAATATATATATCGTTGCCTCAAATTCGCAAAATGTATTTGGTATGCTGAACTATATATACTAATATACATGGCTCCGATGTTAGACATCAATTTCCGCATAACTCTGTCGACGACTTGTCAGTACACTCTACCACTATTTGAAGGCACTGTTCTTTTTGGCCAAACCAATAAATTATTCTCATCAAACACGTGAAAAAGCGACTAGAAAATAATTGAGAATTAAAAAATGAAACGAGAAACTTTACGTGTGAAGCAATTCAGCTTTCATTAGCTACATAATTGTAAAGGATTATCCTCAAAATGAATAAGAATTCCGTTTCCTGAAATCCGGTCCTGTTAATTCCCTTTTTTTTTTAATTAGTTCAGAAATGAAAAGGATGAAGAAGATTAAAAATCAAGAATCTAGAAGGAGAACCCACCAATAATAACAGCACATGTGGCTGGTTGGAGGAGATAACTCCAACCTTAAAAAAATATGTGGATATTGACTGATGTTTACGTCAATTTTGGATGCATAAGTGATATGAATAGCATATGTTGAATATTTAGTCATATGTTAAATAATTATTGGTATATTTATATTCTAAGAAACCATCATAAACAAGAATATGAACCTAACATCCAAATATCCAATAATAGAAACTAGAAACAGGGGAATGTGTTAGGATGGTTACTAAAATTCTAGTAGCCATCTTGGCTATATTAATATCCACCATTCATTTTTTTCTTTTCCCTGTTTTTCTAATCTCACGATTATGATTGTTCGAGGATAATTTTGGAAACAAAAAATAAACCACACTGGATTATTCTATATATACGCAAAACCTAATTCTACCATCTCCTCATATCAAACCGGCTCTCGCTAGCTGCATCTCCCCTCCTCTCTCGTCCACCCAACCCACCATTCCCACCCCACCCCCTCCCCGCCGTCTCTCCATCTCTTCCTCCTTCCTTCCCACCCCTCCACTTCCAACCTTCAAAACCCTTTCTTTCCTCCACAGCCCACCCCTCCCCTCCTCCCCACCCCACCCCATGGCCCCCTCTGTCTCTCTCTCTCTCCCTCTCTCTTTCTCGCTCTCTCTGGGAGACTACTGTGGCTGGAAAAGGTGGGATGAATAAAAATCCTAGATCTGATTTTTTCGTATCGGTAGTGATTTTTTCGTAGTGGTAGTATTGTTTTCGCATTGGTAGTGATTTTTTCGCAGTGGTAGTGTTTTTTCGCATTGGTATTGATTTTTTCGCATTGGTAGTGATTTTTTCATAAGGGTAGTGTTTTTTCGCAGTGGTAGTATTTTTTCCGCATTGGTATTATTTTTTTCGCATTTGTATTGCTTATCATGTAAGTGTATTGCTTTTCAGTGAAATGGTAGTTTTTTTTTTTTGTAGTGGTAGTGGTTTTCACATTGGTATTATTTTCTCTTTTTTTGTTGCATTGGTATTGATTTGCATGCATTGATATTGATAAACCTGCAATGCTATTGGTGTTTTGTCAAATGGTAGTGTTTTTATTTCTCGAATGATATTGGTGTTTTATGCATTGGTAGTGTTCTTTTAATGGATTGGTATTGTTTTATTTTTGCAGCAGGTATTAGTTCGGCTGAACGAAAACAAGGAAAAGATTGAAAAA